TTCCTTCATATTGTATTTGTTTGCTACGTAGATAAAATATTTTAGGAAATTGACATGAATTCTATGTCAATGTCCTTATTTAGAGGGGTTATGTTTATATTTTCTTCTAAATTTCCATCTTGAAGTTTAAGCTTTGAACCCGGTAAGAAGCGAAGAATCGAAAAGAATTCAGAATCTGAATTCCTTTGAATGGGTGATTTTACGTTTTTATTTAATTCCTCGATGAAGCAAAAAAAAGTAGAAAAATCTATTCTTCTTAATTGACTTGGCCAAAATTTATACTCTAAATTATACATGTAACCTGACGCAGTCAATTGCAAGGCATAAAGATACCTCATTTAATCTACAAATTTTCTATTCCTCTAAATACGCTCCTGATGTCATGACACAGTCAATTAAAAGGAATAGACATATCCACTTCACTCTCCAAATTTCTTATTCCTTTCAATGCGCTTCAGAAATTTTGATACTGTCGATTGAAAGGAATAGATATTTAAAATTTACTCTCCAAACATTTAATTTTTCTCTATTCGCTACCAAAAATTTGAAAATATTAAACTTTGCGCATTAAGAAGAATAAGAAGTCTGAATTCTTTTCTATTGACTTAATATGTACTGGGAATAGAAAAAAATAGAAAAAATGATTATTCATCTCTCAATCTTGGATTTTCCGACGAGTTGACTCTGAGACTCGAACCCTCGACCATCATATCTCTCAACCGCACTGGGAGCGCCTTAACGCGCTCGACCAGGGGAGGTTATAAAATTTTTTGAGAAAATGTCACTTATAATGAACACATTAAACAGATACATATATTATTTTGTTAAGTCATCAAACAGCTTTTCAGATGTTCATTATTACAAAGAGTATATTATCGTATATATATTTTTATGAACATTAATGATATTAATTAATAATTTTGTCAATTTAAATAGTTTTAAATGATTAATTGTGTTAATAAATAAAAATTATAACATTTTTTCATCTTTACAACACAAAAATGGTATTTGAATTTTAATACCTAATTTTAATGTGAAGTTTATTGACTTCGACATTTTAATTTAGAATGACATGGACATGAACTTAAATTTCAATCAAGTGAATTCTGCATACATTCCAATTTTTTCGAAAATAAATTAAGTAACAATGTTGATATAGCAAATTTTTTTAACAAACGAATGTAATTTATACAATGCTAATACTTAATCAGCACTCAATTTTTTACCAGAATTTTCTTAAGCTTATGGAAATATTTCCATATAATATAAATAAATAGTTCAGGTCTCATATATTGACTAATATTATTAAAATTCTATTTTACAGAATATTCAAGTATAAAAATAATTTCCCGGTAAGAGGCGAATAATTGAAAAGAACTCAGAGTTCCAATTCTTTTGAATGGGAGCATTTACGTTTTTATTCAATTCCTCGATGAAGCAAAAAAAAGTAGAAAAATCTATTCTTCTTAATTGACTTGGCCAAAATTTATACTCTAAATTATATACATATTATTCTTAACAACCTGAGGCTGTCAATTGTAAAACATAGAAATGCCTCATTTATTCTCCACATTTTCTATTCTTCTGAATGCGGTCCAAAATGCGACATTTAAAATTTACTCTCCAAACATTAAATTTTTTTCTATTCGCTTCCAAAAGTTTGAAAATAAGAAACATCGCGCATTAAGAAAAATAAGAAGCCTGAATTCTTTTCTATTGAGTTATCTCTACTGTGAATAGAAAAGAATTTATTTTTTATATATTTTGATGTTGAATGAGGAATTGAGTAAAAACGTAAATTCACCCATTCAGAAGAATTGAAAATGATCAACTAGTTAAATTAGTTAGTAATTAATTATTACTTATATTCTTTTAAAATCTTAAAATTTATATTCATTTTCTTTCGCTTCTTATAATATTTAAAAAAAAATTGAAATGATTAGGAATTATTAATATACTCGCCAGTTTTTTCATTCCTTTCAATACACTTTTAGAAATCTGATGCAGTCGATTGCAAGAAATAGAAATATTTAATTCATATTACAAAATTCCCATTCCTCTGAATACGGTCCTAAAAACTTGACTCAGGCGATTGCGAGGCATAGAAATACTGAATTTATACCCTAAATTTCCTATTCCTCTGAATATGCTCTTAAAAACCTGACGCAGTCAATTGCAAGGCATAAAGATACCTCATTTAATCTAAAATTTTCTATTCCTCTAAATACGCTCCTGATTCCTCTAAATTCCTCCTTGACACAATCAATTAAAAGGAATAGACATATCCACTTCACTCTCAAAATTTCTTATTCCTTTCAATGCGCTTCAGAAATTTTGATACTGTCGATTGAAAGGAATAGATATTTAAATTTTACTCTCCAAAAATTTAATTTTTCTCTATTCGCTACCAAAAATTTGAAAATATGAAACTTTGCGCATTAAGAAGAATAAGAAGTCTGAATTCTTTTCTATTGACTTACCTCTACTGGGAATAGAAAAGAATTCATTTTTCTGATATTTTGATGTTCAGTGAGGAATTGGGTAAAAACGTAAAATCGCCTATTCAGAAAAATTAAAAATTCTTAACTTCTGCTCTATGTCTGCAAACTTTCAATTTTTCTCTATTCCTCGCTTCTTACCGGGAAGAAACTGTCAACGGTATTTTATTTTGGTCATGATTTGGAACAAATTTCACTAAAAATATGTAAGTTTTCAATTCTAAATAACCAAAAGCGCTACATAGCGACTAGCGCTAATAGTAATCCCACTGCTGGGTACATATTTTGACTAGTTACTTTAAATCTCGGTAGATGGCGTGAAGCGCCATCTATGTTTCTATTAATTTCGGAACAATTTCTTACTATGATGTAGAGAAGAGGCGTAGTCATTGACGAGTCTTTATTTAAACCTTCGAAAGAGAATATATTGTTTAAATAAAAAAATAATAAAATATACAAAAATGAATTATTACATAAAATAATATAAGAACGAAAGAATCTATACAATGCAAATAAAATACTAATCTCTAGAAAACGTAACGAAGAAAGAACTAGCTATTCTAGAGGAGCATTCGCTGAGCTCCAATCGCGCTCGTCATTAATCCAGAATAAAGCGGATTTAAACATATTTACCACGTTCGCGAAGATGTTGATTAGGACGACGCATATTACTTTCGCGTGGGGTACTTTCTAGAATTTACCCCCTAGACGACGGTACGGACGGATACTAGGGTCGTGCACGCTAGATCAATTATTATTCGTAATCGGGAAGCAGGTAGATATTAGATTCGGTTTCAATATTCATGCCTGACGCGAAGCTAGTGCAAAGTAATATTCACTAGGTGTCTCCTCCACCCGAGAAGCGCCTCGAGATAGGGAATCGACCTAGTGCATCATCTTTGTCAAGAGAGGAGCGACTCTACTCGACAAGGACGGTCCTGGTGGAAGGGAGTGAGTAACCTGGTTCACCAGTCTTCCACGGAAGCGCCCATAGAAAGTCCGGCTCACCAAAAGGAAGGAAGGCGAAGGGTGTTACTTTTCCGCAGGAGCGCCTACAGGAACAAGTACAGCTCCTTCTAGGAAGTAAGGAAGGCTCCGGTATTCAGACAGACGCACCTCTACTGAGCACCAGTTAGCCAGGAGTGAGTCGCTTCCAATCGTCAAAGAAGCACCTCTAGACGAGTCGGAAGAAGACTGAGGAAAAGGTGCGAGACGAAAGGTATATCACTAGCAGCTAGGTGACAGCGAGTGTTGTTGTTGTTTAAATGTTTTAGTTTAAAAATTTTCCCAAAAAACAAAACCCGTCTCAACCTGCATACATCTCCCCTATAGTTGTCAGTTTTAAAATTTCCGTGAGTGCAACTCACAGTTGGCTGGTTTTGCTTCCTCATGAGAAAGCTTTGCATTCGTGACACTTTTCAGTTTTTGAAAAAAAGGTTATATGGACTCATTCTCATCTAGAATTAATATTAATATATTTGAAGTTCTGAGCAAATGTCCAGATGCATGTGTGTGTCTATGTTACAAAATATTGTGTACAAATTATCTCAGACACATTTTGACGGATTGTCCAGAAATTTTGTATGCTTATTGGAGTCATTACTACCTAAAATGTGATACAAGTATTTCCAAATATATTCACATTTTTTTTAATTTTTTCAAAATTTGAAAATACTTTTTTTTCAAAAAATTTTTTTCATTGTAAATTTAATTTTGTTTGGTAGAAAAAAACTTACTTCTTGCATTAACCTTTATAAAGTTCATATTTTACTGAAATCTATAGATTAAATCTTTTTTTTTTTGATTTTTTGAAAAAATCGTTTCTTGTATTTTTTGAAATATGTTTTCTTATATAGAAATTTTAATTAATTCTTGTCAAAATTGTACTCCTGGCATGAAAACGAATCGATTGATGTATTGGGATCTGACATTCGTACACATGCCATCTGGTGTTGAAAAATGTAACTAGTTTTGGATAACTGTTTGTGTCACTTGCAATTGTAGTTCCGCTGTCATTGTTAATTATTTTATCATTATGAATGAAGCTACATTTTTACAGCGTGAGAAATCTTCCTGCAGAATTAAGTGTTCTGTGAGAGGCTGTGGCACTACTGTAGCGAAAAATTTAAGCGTAATTTTCCATAAATTTCCGAAACCAAAACCAAAATTACACGATTTACACCACACTTTATAATGTGCCCGGCTTGCAAAACGCGTTCACCTTCAATAAATTTTCGTTGAGCAGGATTTGTACTTGCCCATGCGCAAATACTGTCCATAGAAATAAACATTTTCTGCATCCCATGTTATTCCCATGTAAATTCACTAAAAGTGTTACCCAATTTACGCCATATTGCTTTAGGCCCCGCCCCCATGTTGTAATCTTTCTTTTAGTCTTGAATATAAGTGTATCATGATGAGGAAGCTACATGGTTATGAAATGAACACCTTGTTTTCTGTATTAAAATCATGAATGTTTAAGTTTTTTTAATGTTAACTCACCTTAGAAATGTACTTGTTATCTGGATAAAAATTGAGAACGGTCCTCTGTTCTTTCAATTTTTCTCGTAGATGATAGGCATATTCAATGACAGGAATTTCTAATTTAGAGCAAATACTTAATACCACTTCTCGTGTCTGAAATTGTGTTGGAGCGAATATTCCAGTTATACCTTCTGTCACCAAATTACAAACTATTAAAAGAGTAAAAATATTATACTATGAGTAGGAACAAAATTGGATTCTTATATTAGAAGAAATAATTAAAAATAGAAAAATGCGGGACCATAACCAATAACCAGACAGTTAGACTACTAACCATCAACATTTCACATATTTTTCTGACGAATTGATTTTTCTTAAAAAATCGTTCTCATTTCTATATAGTTACTATTACACAGAAAAAAAATTATTTGATTCAAATACTTCAAATTATTTGAAAAATATTTATTTGGTTCAAATATTTTTTATTTGGATCCCAAAAATATGTATTTGATTCAAATAACTTGAATTATTTGAATCACACTTATTTGAACCTAATAAATCGTATTTGGTTCAAGTAAATAATTAATTAAATTTAATAAATGAATTTAATTAATACTAATAATGAGCTACTTGAAACTATTTATTTCTTTATTTCACTCAAATATTTCGTTTTATTGAAACAAATAAAAAGTATTTGATACAATAACTTTATTTAATGGATTCAAGTCAACCAAATTATTTAATATTAATACACTATTTAATGAAGAGAAATTAAAAAATATTTCAATCAATTAAATAGTTATTTGAAAGGAAAATAATGAGTTACTTGCAACTATTAATTTATTTATTTTTATCAAATATGTCGTTTTTTTATACAAATAAAAAGTATTTGATTCAATAAATTTAGGTTTGAGGCAATATATTGTAAAAAATAATTAAAATATTGGTAAAATTGCTATTAGGAAGTAATAATTAATGTTTTCTGAGTCGATTTATGCAATATTATTGGATAATTGAGCTCTTATTATTAAATAATTAACTTTTTTAAATAGTAGTGTATTTATCTGACATGGTATACTCTATTTTGTAATTGAAAAAAGGATAATGACAGAAAATTAACTTTTTTCCTATTGAATTAATATTAACACCTATTAATTATTTTTGTTATTTATACAATAAACTAGTTTATTAATAATATGTATTTTAAATGTTTAGTCATCATAACGAATTAAAAATAAACAAAAAAGCATAAATACTCAAAACAACAACAACTTTTATTGAATTTGCAAAATATAAAAAAATTAATACAGTTTTCTAACTCCGCCATTTTGAATTTTCAGAATCTAATATCAGATTCGTAAACAGGGACCCAAAAAACCCGTGAGTAACGAACTTTCAGAGAATTCGATTAATGTTTAATTTTTTTAATCCGACATTTTTAATTTTTAAAATCTAATATCAGATTCGTAATCAGTGACCGAAAAAACACCCCGAGTAACGATCTTTTAGAGAATTCGATTAATATTTAATTTTTTTGATCCGCCATTTTGAATTTTGAGAATCTAATATCAGATTCGTATTAAGCGACCCCAAAAACCCTCAAATAACGAGCTTTGAGAAAATTCGATTATTATATAATTGGTTTGATCCGCCGTATTGGATCCACCATTTTGATTTTTGAAAATCTGTCATTATATTCGTAATCAGCGACCCAAAAAACCCCCGAGTAACAAGCTGATGGAGAATTTCAGTATGTTTTAATTTTTTTTTTTGCCTTATTGGATTCGTCATTTTGAGTTTTCAAAATCTGTTATTATATTCGTAATCAGCGAACCCAAAAACCCCCGAGTAACAAGCTGATGGAGAATTTCAGTATGTTTTAATTTTTTTCTATTCGTTATATTTTATTTCGTATTTTGAATTTTGGAAATCTGATATCAAATTTGTAATTAGCGACCCCGAAAATCCCCCTAGTAACATTTTTTATAAATAATTAATAAGTCTGTTAAAGATGAATTTTGAAAATTAGTTTTTATTCAATATCAATCAAAGATTGTTATTTTCTAAAACTCTAAAAGACCTTGGTACTTTAACATACGTTGCCCTTCGGACAAATTATATTGTATAGGTAGTGGACCCCTTCCTTACCTCACTATTATTCAGTGAGTTGGTTGAGAATCCATATTAATCAGAACAATTGGTTAGGAATAATTTAAATAAAAGATCAAACAAATATTTAATTAATTGTATATAAATATATATTGTGTAACAACCCAAATAATACAATATTACAGTATTCTGTATTCTAATACAATTTTACGTGTGAATGAATGTATGTGTAAGAATGTTGTGTGTGTAATGTGCTAAGAGTCTCTGGACTCTTACGTATATTTACCTCTGGAATTCCTCAGAATGATATCCTTCAAAATAATCGACGAATCTCAATTTAAGTATTAAATTAATTCTTCAATTTATTATAGCTATATTATATTGTCTTTTTCTCAAACAATTATTACAACAATCTCAAACTCAGTATAAGCTATAAACTTTATTTCTCATTTACTATTTAAGTTTCAATCTCAATTTCAAAACTAAGTGATTCTCAAAAACTCATTTGTATATCCTTTAAATCAAATTCAAAATTAAATTCTCTTTTTTCAAAACTACAATTATTCACTCTTTAAAATACTCAAAATTTAATACTCTTTAAATAATCTCACTTTCAAAAAGTCTTTTAACTCGGAGACTCAAACTCCAACTCAAAACTCTCAAACTCCAAGCTCCACACTAAGCTCTCTCTCAATCTCCCAAACAATTACTACCGCGACACTCCTTGTGTCTACTGGTTTTATTGAGCTGATTTTTGGTGGGAAAAAGTATGTTTTATTTAGTAATTTTATTGTTGTCAATGTTCTTTATTGCAACCTTGCAATATTGGGGTAGTATTCCAGTTCATTTTGTACTGACATACTTTGGATGCAGCAATCTTTATTGCGCCATCCTTTGTTTCTTGAATTAATTTAGTTCACTTAGTTTCTCAATTTTATCATGAATTTTAAATAGGTCTTCTTTACAATTTAGGTTATTAATTGAAAGTTAATATTTAATATATATCATCGACGTTCAATGGGTTAAATATTTTTCTTGTCAAAGTCTTATAGCACATTCGGTTATGTGCTCTAAACTGCTCCAAGAGTGCTCCAACTCAGAACCATGTGTTCGGGTTGGCAACTCTGCCCCGGAGCCAATCGTGTAGCGTATTCGACTTCACAACACCGCTCCGAAAGCAGGCAGAACACGTGTTCATGTAACACGCTCCGCTACGTCACAGAGCATTTTGCGTATGCGAGATACAAATCCTCCTCCACGACAGGGCAAAAAACGTATTCGGTTTGTAACATAAATCCACCCCGGAGTCAATGTAGAGCAAGAAATCTTGCTCCATCTTTTTCGACGGAGCGACAGCAATAATTTTTAAAATATCTTACCGCGCATGTCATATTTTGAATTTTAGAATGGGAATTGAAGCAGAAACTTTGACTTTAGCTTTTGAACTTTTAGAAAGTTCTAGTGATGATAGTGATAATGAATTTTTTGAAGTTATGAATGAATTTCTTATAGAAAAAAGAGATTGTCCTAAAATTAAAGGTTATGTCAGAATAGTGTTAGAAGAATATGATAATATAGAGGTTAGTATTTATATGTCACTCAGGTATATATATATATATTATATGTATAAGTTATGCTATTTTTGGGTTCTCATTTATTATAATAAAGGACCCCGCACGTTTTGCATGGAAAATGGCTTTCAGCGAATTTTTCTGAAACTTTGTAGTTTTGTAGTTTAAGGCCTCCTGAACAAAAAATGTTAATGGCAAAACTTAAAATAATGGACAGTTTTTTTGCTACAATGGCTCAAAGTTAAAAAACAATAGCATTATGGGCATAGACTTTTGTGAATTTAAAACTTTTAAAACTTAATTAAATCTGCTTAAAACTCGTTACTCGGGAGTTTTCGGGGTCGCTGATTACGAAACCGAGGTTTGTTTTTTAAAATTCAAAATGGCGGATCCAATATGGCGGACGACTTTCCTAGAATTTGATTGAATTCGCATGAAACTCATCACTCGGGGGTTTTCGGGGTCGCTGATTACGAATCCGAGGTTTGTTTTTTAAAATTCAAAATGGTAACCGGTGACACTGAAATGTAGGGAAAGTAAAACTGTGAATCTTCCACAGATCATAGTGACAGCAAAAGAGGCAGTACGTCAAGCCTTCTCAATGTAAACAGCGAAAAAAGCGCTTAAAGCCTGATTCCGTCTGATTTGGACAACAAGATCATTAACGAAAATAGCATTCAATGCGTTATATTTCGGAAAAAGGAAGCTAAGTTTCTTCTGAAAATCAGGAAGGAAGTTGCCAAGATGGTAAAATCTTGTGACATTCAAAACAACATTAATCGCACGATCAAGTACAGACTAAAGGTTCTTCAGGACCTGATAGATTAAGCCCAGGTGAACCAAAAAACAACGGAAAAGGGACATACTGAACCTTACGTTTTTGTTTCGATAGTATGTAGTCGGAAGGACTGGGATGCAAAGAAAGAGCGTACTCTTGAGAAGTACTGCAATACCATCACGATTTTAACGTTACTGTAACTATTACAATTTGGCAAAGTACCTAAGTATGGAGTCATTGGCTTTTAAATCAGGCGAATTCAAGCGATTTTCCAAAAAGTCGTCGACCTTTTTTGATCAGTCATTTTGAGCTTTGAAGAACAGCCCTCACGTTCATAATAAGCGACCCCGAAAACCCCCGAATAACCATTTTCAAGAGAATTCAATGATTATTTTTTAAAATCATCGACCTTTTTTGATCCGTCATTTTGAGTTTTGAAAACCAGCCCTCAGATTCGTAATCAGCGACCCCGAAAACCCCCGAGTGATGAGTTTTAAGCAGATTTAATTAAGTTTTAAAAGTTTTAAATTCACAAAAGTCTATGCCCATAATGCTATTGTTTTTTAACTTTGAGCCATTGTAGCAAAAAAACTGTCCATTATTTTAAGTTTTGCCATTAACATTTTTTGTTCAGGAGGCCTTAAACTACAAAACTACAAAGTTTCAGAAAAATTGGCTGAAAGCCATTTTCCATGCAAAACGTGCGGGGTCCTTTCAGTTTGAAAGAAATTTTTGAGTATCAAGAGAGAAG